ATTCATTTTGTTTATTTAGTTATTCGATGTACCTTTCCCTTATTACTAAGATTATTATTAGTACTATTCTCACTCTGAATTGTTTTCGCTTGTCTAACTTGTCATTCTAAATCCAAATTTTTCTTCTAATATTGAATTCTATATTTTCAGATTTCACACCAATTTATGTAACACTTTATATTCACCAACTAATCCTATAATTATGCACCCCTTTTCAACATATATACGCCTTATGAATTATTGTTTTGCTACTTGACATTTAACTATGATTATAATCACAGATATTTTAACATGAATTCCTTCAAGGTTGCAGTTACGCCTTGCTGACGAGTGCCAACTAGCACGAAACCTAGGTCCAAAGCTTGCTGCCGATTGCCTCCAACCATCCAATACAGATATTTGAATTGCTTTTCATACTACTATTATTTCATGTATTCACACCTTTGACCTAATTCCCTCACCAGATATAATATCTTAAAAATCATTATATATACGATTGCACAGCTTGATATTAAATTAATTGAAAGGAGTCTCTTCGTTGAATATTGTATTTTTAGTCTAATCAATTCACAGTTCCCACCAGTCTTAACAAAATATTACACAATTTTATACGAAATTACTTCTATTCAAACATTTTTCAGATGAAATTTCAACGACAGTAAAAACCCTCATTTTCCTACAATAAGTTGACATGAGAATATGCCGTTTAAAGGCAGTGCTCCTACAGAGTATTGCCATTTTTTTTCAATTGCATAAACATCATGCTTGTTTACATACTGCCAGTATAGCGAATTTTATTGATTTTCAGTATGACTCATTTGATTGGTTAGAAAGGATGGTGAAGAATTTCATCAGTCGTTTATAGTTGGTTGCTTCCATCACGTGATCGGTCCAACTTTCAGACTTGCTATATATGCGGCAATTATCTTTTGCATTTAAACCATACATTTAAATCGAAAAAAATGAGTCAATCAGCACTACTGTGAACTTCAACGCTCGGTTTATTTTACAGTGCATGAATTATAATTTATTATATATCTGTGAAAGAAGATTAAAGAAGAAAGACAGATTAAACAATGGGCGGACCACTTCAAAGGACTCTTGAATCGACCACCACCTACAACCCGTCCAGTAATACCAACAACAGCACGTACACAACTGCAAGTTGACACCAATCCTCCAACGAAAACTGAAGTCATGAATGCAATCAAGCTTCTGAAAGCTGGAAAAGCAGCTGGACCGGATGGAATACCCCCGGAAGCACTAAAAGCGGACCCAGAAACGACAGCAGATATGCTGACTCCATTATTGCAAAAGGTTTAGAAGGAGGGAAAGGTGCCTACTGACTGGAGGAAAGGTTACCTTGTGAAACTACCAAAGAAGGGCGACCTAGGACTCTGCAAGAACTGGCGAGGAATCATGCTCCTGTCGACGCCAAGTAAAATCCTGAGTTGCATCATCCCGGAGAGAATAAAGGACGCACTTGATACAGAACTCCGCCAACCAGAACAAGCTGGATTCAGGAAAGGCAAATCATGTTCTGACCAAATTGCAACTCTACGCATCATTATCGAACAAAGCATGGAATGGCAATCAAACCTCTACCTCAACTTTATAGACTTTGAGAAGGCCTTCGACAGCGTTGACCGCGAAGTAATTTGGAAACTCCTCGAGTACTACGGCGTACCCCAAATATTCATCAACCTTATTCAACAGCTGTACGACAACGGCACATGTCAAGTGATCCACAACGCAAAACTCAGCGAAGCGTTTGGAGTAAACACAGGAGTCAGACAAGAGTGCTTATTATCACCAATGATATTCCTAATTGTGGTGGACTGGATTATGTGCCAGACAGTGGGAAACGAGAAGACAGGGATATCCTGGACCGACGTGAAGAACCTAGAAGACCCAGATTTGGCGGATGATTTATGTCTGATGTCACACAAAATCGAAGACTTACAAGCGACAACCGACAAACTGGTCGAAGAAGCAGCAAAGACAGGACTCCAGGTGAACATAGACAAGACGGAGGTCATGAAAATAACCAACCAACAGCAACAACAGCAGCAGCAACATCCAGTGCCAATCACCATCAACGGGAGGGATTTGAAAGAGGTTACTTCATTCACTTATCTAGTGAGCATTGTCCCGACTACAGGAGGAACGGACGAAGACGTCAAATCGAGAATCGGGAAGGCGAGAAACACATTCATCAACCTGAAACCAATCTGGAAATCTTCGTCACTCAACTCAGCATCAACAACAAAATTCAGATTTTCAATACAAACGTCAAGTCAGTCAGTTCTTCTACACGTACGGATCAGAAACTTGGTGGATCACAAAAAATATTTCCAACAGGCTACTGCAGACCTTTATCAACAACTGTTTTCGCTCTATGCTGAAGATCAGATGGCCCCCGGAAAGAATCACCAACAAGAATCAATGGGAACAAACAAATCAAGAACCAATCACCCAACAAATATGCAGTAGAAAGTGAAGATGGATTGAACACTCGCTGAGGAGGCCGCTGGGTGACATCGCGCGTTAGGCCAGTGCTCGAGTGGAACCCGAAAGGGAAGCGGCGAGTGGTTCGTCGGTGCAAGGGTGACATGGAGGAGATCGTGTGAGGAGGAGATGAAACAGTATGGAATAACATGGACGCAAGTGAAAAGTACAGCACAAGACAGAAGCAAGTGGAGACGTGCAGTTGAAGCCGTATGTTCCAATAGGAACCCAAGGGAACAATAATAATATAATATATCTGTGATTTTCAAAAGGAGAAGATTACAACACTGGACAGTTGTTTCATCCTGGATTTGCAATTTTACTAACAGTAAGTACTTATGAACTTAAATTTACGAGTCTAGCTTGTTGACCATTCAATCACTGAGTTGGAATTCAATAATCTGGGACGAGTACGTTATAATTAATGTCAGACTGTCTAGTCCTTCTTTTGGTTCTACATGAGTTTGTCAATCGTGAACCCGAATAGTGCAGTGGTAATTTCTCTGACTGCAGTACTCAATGGATGACACGGATTCGAAACTCAGAAGGAACATGAGTTCTTTCATGATTTCAGGCATGCCCTGCTAACTGGTGGTGAGTGCCAACAAGCTCGAAACCTAGGTCCTGGCAAGGCTTCTTGCCGGTTGCTTCCAACCCTCTAACAGCACTTCTTACATTCATTAATACCGCCAACTAGTCCCATGAATGAACACGTGATGTATCACCCTATCTTTGAGTTGAATGGTTAACGAACTTTCCTTTTTAGCTGAAGGTACTGAGATTGATCCCTAGTTGAGTCATGAGTGTGTACTGATAAAGAGTCCCAATCTAGGATGAAACAACAGTCCGTTTCTCCCTTCTTTTCAATTATCCCCTAACTGATGTCAGTCCATGACGAAATCTACACTGGATCTAATCCAAATCCCTAAAAAATGTAGAACTCTGATTAACAATAATTTGTTTCAAAAGAATGCTTACTGAACAAAGAATACTCTTTTCGATAACTTCATCATCAAGCTCTACAGTTATATATATATATATACATATATACATTATAGCGAATGAATTGGTGTTATGAACAACATTAATGTTGCGAAAATATTCATTCAAACATCTATAAAACAAAAAAGAAATCGATAATTTCCTCTTCTGGTTCTACAATTACATATATATATATATACATATATGTTTATATACACAGAATATTCTAGATTAGTAGTCAATAACAATATTGATGATTCTAGATATTATCGATTTGTTAGGTAAGATCACAATGGAATTACAGTTCGTTAGAGATGCTTAAATAATAATAATAATAAAAATATAACAACAAATAGAATATCGACTAAAATTAGGGAAAATTCTACAAAATTCCGAATCATTCAAACCTAGATGGCCAAGGTTAGGATAATGTTTGAACTAACTTCTTTTGGACGCATAAATTAGGCTTCTTAATGTGGATCCCAATGGCCTCAGCAATATTTAGAAGTCGAACTCTTAAGGCGAAATTAAGATTTGTTGGTATGCTGTAAATGACTTTGAAAGCCGCCTCGTTAACATCAATCTTGTGTTTTGTATCCACAAGATGAGATAGAATAGCGCTATGAATAGATTTTGTCTGTTCTTTATTTAACCACCTTGCAGGGTGATGTTCAGAAATAATAATGTTGTTTAAATAACATCCAATCAATAATAATATCAATGGATTACAGTTCAATAGCATCAACATAACAATACACTGAATGTCAGAAAAATGAAGGAAGATAATCATAATACAAATTCATGAATTTATAGTCTCCACTGAAGGCCGGCCAGGGCAGTAGTGGTGGCTGGTCGGGCTTGCATCTTTTGTACACAATGCACTGGTTTTTTCACGCGAATCGCGATAGCCTCTTCTGTTTGGAGCATGCGTTACCTCGATGTTTTTGGCAATTTATTTAGTACCCGGTAGATGATAGAGAAGGATTCTTCAATGGTGTCTTTGTGGCCGGTTTGGACCAGATGGTCTAATATCGAACTGTTGATGATGGTTTTTACAATACCTTTACTTAGCTTTACTAGGAGATGTTCTCGAGGAAGCATGAAAAATCAAGTTCATAGAGAATCGGCCGATATAACTCGCTCCACTACAAGTGCAGTTGAATGATATTTGTGTGATGATAGGGCAGGCAAGATTACGAGTGTTCATAGAAGGCATGAATAGCTCTTTATTCCTGTCCACTGACCTACCAGTGACATCCAATTATTTCATAAAAAATCAAAATCATGAAACACTAGACGTACAAAAGTTTTATTTTTTTTTCTATCGTGGATAACTCTTTGACGCCTGAAACGATGAGAACTGGGTTTGAATACATTCGGATGACGAGTTCCGAATAGGACGAAATGCTCAACTTGGATTCTACTGCCAGTCACAATTCACCAAATTAAAAAACAAAACTTCTCTTCTTCACAAAAAGAAAATATTAAAAGTAAAATAAAGTAAAACTTACTTGACACGAACGATGGAATAATCGTTTTTCAACAAAACACGGTATACCACGATTCGATTGTCCAGCATATTTGCTTACAAAATACAATTTCCCGTCAATGTTTTGTACTTCTTTATCGTCGGTCTGTTGGTGTAATGAAGACAAGAAAGACAGAAGTCAAGAAGACGATGAACATCAAGAGCACACTGCTAATAAATAACATCATTTTATGGAGGATTTCATCATGAGCTGACATCAGTTAGAGAACCACTGGAAAATCTGGGGTTTGAACCCTGGTGGGTGCGTACTGATGAAGAGTCCAGCCGTCCAATACTCCCAGGTTCTCCAGTGTTTCTCTAACTGATGTCAGCTGATGATGAAATCCTCCATGCAATCAAACAAAAAAATCCCTAGAAAAACCAATACTTGAAAATAACATCATATATTTATAAGCAAAAGTGGTACGAAAACGCTTTGCTAAGGTAATCTTTTTTGAAAAAGCCATCCGCCCTAGTGGTGTTTGAAGCTTAACCTGACACGCAGATTTGTGGATGAGTAAAGTGAAAAAGAGAAGACGTTCAGCGAAGAGACTCTTTTCGATGGCGAATTCATTCACTCTTAGCTGTACAATCGCATTCATATGTAATTATTTGTGTGTGTGTATATGAGGTTTGTCAAGTTTAGATAATTAATTAGGTAATAGAAGAATGATCTAATATAGAAACAAGCTTAATTAGACAGCAACTATGGTAAGATTGAATTAGTAAGTTAGATGACGTAATATAAATGACTAAAGTGTTTCAACTTAGGTCAGGATAACAACAGAGGTAATTACAAGTAGAAACTAAGTAGAGGTGAGGCAGAGATTAACGTCATTTAAATTAGGACTAAAATTGAGCAAATAAATTAGATGACATAACAATAAATCGTTCTGGATAACAATTCTCGACGAGAACTCTCTTGAGATTGTCCAGTTCGTCTTCTATGGTGTTCGGGGTGCAAATTCTGCGAACTCTGTAGCTGAGTGAACGGATCAGGTTTCGTTTGGTGTATAGAGGTAGCCAATTGTGAAAGTTAGTAAGCTATCCGTTCCACGTTGACTTTCTGTAGATAGATCTTTTCAGTGTTCCATCCAAATTTCGTCTTGTTAGTTGAACGTCGAGAAAGGATATTTTGCAGTTAGACTCTTTCTCTAACGTGAACTGAGTCGCTGGGTGGCAGTTGCTAAAGGACTGCAAGATGTCGTCTAGATTTTTCTCATTGCTGACGATAATGAAAGTGTCGTTGACGTATCTCTTTTAGAATTCGAAAATATCGATCATTTTCTTCAGGCATGTGTTTTCGAGTTTTGCCATGAAGAAATCTGCATGCAATGGGCCTAGTGGTGAGCCCATAGCTATACCATCCTTTTGGCGATATATTTCGTTGTTAAAAGAGAATTGCACATTCAGGGTTCACCTGAGTAGGAGTCCTTTATGACGCTTGGTGGGTATACCGATGTTTATTCCCTTTAAGTGAATAAGTTCGCAAATATAGCATATTGTTTCATTCAGTGGGAGGTTTGTGAACAATGACGCGACATCTAATGAAATCACAGTCTTGTTAGATATGTTGACATTTTCGATTAAGCCGACAGAGTCGACTGAACCTCGAAATGTGTGGCAGGAAACTTGTTTTCTGATTGGTTCTAGTAGGTCTACCAACCATTAGGCTGTACGATGATAAGGCGAATTGGTCATGTCGAGGATCAGTCGAAGAGAGGTACTTTTCTTGTGTACTTTCGGGAGTCCGTAAAGTCGTGGTATATTTGAGCCAGATGGTCTTAGGGATTCGAACGTTTCGTTGCTGATGAAAAATTCAGTCTTTAGCTAACAAGGAGTGTCCATAAGCTTTTGTTCGGTCAGTTAAGTCATATTTTTCTCGTTGAACGAGCGGAAAGAACTTATGAAAAACGAGGAGATTATGGTATTACGTCCTGATAAAGGCGGAGGAATCGTAATCACGACTCGCAAGGACTATATCAGTACAATGCTGACTATGCTATCCGATGAATGCAAATTCACATAACCGGTAAATGTAATTCACTAGGCATTTGTTCCACACATCAATATTATTCGGTACATCTTTATCCTTCCTTGAGGAACAGTGTAACGACAGAAGGCAAGAGTCAGGCAACAGATCATTTATTAAGGAAATCAACGCATATTTATATATTTTCATGTACATTACTATGGATATTTAAGCAAACAAACACAGTCTTCTGATTGGTTGTTTCTCACAGAAAGTTAATCTTTCATCTATTTGTGACTGTTTCTTGAATGTCAAATCCTCTATATATGTTAACTGTATCCGCCTACGCAAAGTCTGCTGTGGTCGGTTTTAAATCAATCTTTGTTCACATTTTCTCACGACAAATCTTTGGAACGTAAATATTGACGTAAATTACTGTCTACCAATTTGGCTAGTAGACAGCTCTCACCACAACAGTTGCCTTTGTATCGCAACCTTCGTGTAATTGTATTATTTCCTGTGTATTATAGAGACAGGTGAAGTTTACGTTGAGTCACCTTGCTTTCAACTACAGTGACGCCTAGACTCTGTATCGTCGGTAGTGATGGGGAGGACCGAAATTCTGTAGGCAGGTTTAATCCTTCAGGGCTTTCCACGTCTTGATATGAAATAATTAAAACGTAGGTGGTTTCTAAAAGGAAAAACTCATTCAAATTCTTGTACAATTGTTTATACACTTAATGATGAGGACTGTTCAACAATATGACCTTTGGTGATTGCTCGGCTGAATTCAGTTGATTTCATTTAGTTTTGATTTAACAGAGGTAAACAAATCAATACTGAGGCTTCTCATTGATTTCAAAGTTTGCATAGAGTTTTATTAGGCTTCATTTCTAGAAAAAGAAAGCATTTATATCGTTTTGTCTCAAAGTTACATATTTATGGCATTGTGCTTAAGTACTAGATTAAATCAGTTGAGTAAGGAAGCATTACAACTCGTATCAGCTCCTACATCAGGTAATACAAACAGATGAAGAGAGAGGCATAAAATGGACCCACTTTTACAAAAACTTGGAGGATATGTACTTCGCCGATGACATATATACGTCTGATTTCCCACAAACTGGAAGATATGCAAGTGAAAAGCAACAAGTAGGTAGAGGAAGCATCAAAGATAGGCTTTCAGGTGAACATAGATAAGGTGGAGACAGAGGTGATGAAGATTCTTGGCCAACAGCAACTACAACAACAGACAACAATCGGCATAAATGGGAGGGGTCTGAAAGAAGCAACCTCCTCTACCTACCGACTTGGGAAGCATCGTTTCAACTACAGACGAATGGAATTGATGAGGATATCAAAGTGTAAAGATCGGGAAAACAAGAAAAGCTTTCATTTCCCTCAAGTCTGTGTGGAGATCAACAACAATACTCAGCATGAAAAGTAAGATCCGGATTTTCAACTGAAATATGAAGCCAATGCTACTATACGGATCAGAGACTTGACGCGTCATGTAGGGCACCTCAAACAAACTACGGACCTTCATCAACAGCTGTCTTCGCTCAATATTTCGCTCAAGATCAGATGGCCAGAAAAGATCAGCAACAAGGATCTCTGATACTGAACGAACCAACCTAGCAGGAACCAATTGTACAACATATATGCAGGAAGAAATGGATTGGTCATACTCTGAAAAAACTATCAGATACATAGACCATTGCTCTAGTGGAACCCGAAAGGGAAGCGGTGAATTGGTTGGTCGTCAGTGTGAGGATGACATGGAGGAGGTCATGTGAAGAGGAGATGAAAGCATGTGGGCAGACGTGGAGCCAGTTGAAAACGCTGGCAGAGAACTGAACGCAATGGAGACGTGCGGCTGAAGCCCTATGTTCCCCTAGGAACTAAAGGAAACAATAATAATAATAATAGATCAGTTGAAGTGTAAAAATGATAATCAGTACTACAGAAAGAATGAGAGTAAGACATGAAGAACGACCTATGAAAATCGAGTATCGTATTAGTACTGCAACGGCCTAATTTGCCACTCAGTATTACACGGTTGGAGGCAATCGACAGTAAGCCTTGCCACGACCTAGGTTTCATGCTAGTTGGCACTCACCAGTCAGTCAACAAGGCGTATCTCCAACCTTTGGAGGAACTCATGTCTCTTCTGAGATTTGAACCCGCATCACCCAGTGAGTAATGCAGTCAGAGGCATTACCACTGGACTATTCGGGCTCGCGATTGACAAAGTATCCAATACTGTCAGTCCTACAGGAAGTCGTCAATCGTGTACCAGAATGGCTCAGTGATAACTTCTCCAACTGTAACACTGAGTGACACGGGTTCAAATCTCAAATGGGGCATGAGTTCCTTCGAGGTGATGAGTGCAAACTAGCACGAAACCTAGGTGACTTAGGGCTTCCTGCCGATTGCCCCCAATCATCTTACACCAACAATTCAAAGTGCACCATGATTGCAAGTCACCTACAATGGGAACTACATTTTAAAAGTGAGTGATACAACTCAGTCTGCACCAAACAAAGGACTGGATACATTCCCTTTAGTTACTAACTGGTGTCCAATCAAAGTAATGTGCCACTTATCACACACTTATATATATTTGGGTAAACAATATCAACAGAGGGAAAATGGAAATAATAATTAAAACAAAGTGGAAAACTAAATGAAATACTACAAGTTTTTGATGAGAATCAAGCATACTTCTATAATTCTGAAGCCTTTTAAAGTAGATGTAGTCTAAAAGTTAACACAGTCACAGTCACTTCACATATCAGTTGGAGGATCAGAGAGTACTGGACAGCTGTTTCGCCATGTTTTGGGACTCTTCATCCGTGCACGCCCATTTCACTAAGATGAGAACCTACTGCACTCAGAAGCATGAAGAGCAACAGCCAAATTTTACAACACCATTTTGAAGTTACTCAGTGCTTCTATATGCCTCAGGGATTTGCTGTACACGTCACTGAAACCATTTCTGACAGGCTACTGAAGACTTCTATCAAGAGCTACCCAGTTCTCCCCCTATTGAGAATCAGATAGCTGGTCAGAAAGAATAAGCAACAAAAAAATCTGTCAAAGGAAGCAAAACCAACCTAGAACTTATCGCCCAA